TTAACAAAGTTTAATAATTAATCGCCCATGAAATCAATAAAAATCTAAATTTCTTTCAAAAATTTACTTTACATTCATATATTCTGGCTATAATCCCAGCCTTCATTCAGTGGAAACTAAAAATAAAATTTAAAAACTAAAACAATTAAATTGAAAAAAAAAAAAGAATTATAGAGTAAAAAGTTCTTACAATTATTTAATGTTGGTGTTAAAACAGAAAATTCAATAATCGATGGTATCAAGATATGGTAATGAACTACACTATGTAATATAAAAATTTAACTTATGATTCAACAATATTACACTAACTTAAAAAATCACAAATAGTTGGTGTGCAATATATGTGTTGTCCGTAAACTTTTAATACTTTCAAAACAATATAGACTTTTTTAACCAGACTGTACTACAATTCAAAGAAAACCTTTGTATTATTTTTTATTATTTTTGACTGTTGATAACAATAGAGCAATAAATAAATGCAAAACACTAAAAATGTGCACAAAGGATTTGCAATTAGTTCCACACAAGTATAGAATTATGATAAAAATATTTATTTAAGTCATTTTTCCATTATATCTTTAACTGGTTTACGAACAACACATATATTACACACTATCTATTTGTGACTTTTTTAAGTTAGTATTTTGTGAAATATTGTTCAGTTGCGAATTATTTCCACCACGGATTATTGAATTTTCTATTTTAACACGAATTGTAAGATAAGCTAACTGTGTATGTACTTTTATTTTTACTCATTTTTTTTTTCAAATTCAATTGTTTTAGATTTTAAATTTTATTTTTAGTTTCCGCTGAATGAAAGGTAAGAAGCCGATGGATGTAAAATAATTTTTATATATATATATATATATATATATATATATATATATATATTATATATATATATATAGTAATAATTAGATGGCAGATAAAATATAGTACAAGTCATAGTTTTTATGAACAGAGTTTAAAATCACAAACTATTATATTTTTTATCTTCTGATTTAATTCAAAAATATTGTACAAATAGAGGAATGTGTTTTAATATTCTAATGAATTTCATTCTTCAATTTTCATAAAGAATACATAATCCGGTTGAAGTAATCTGTTCAACAATTTGGAACAAAAAAATAAATGCAACTATAGAATTATACCTAAAATGGAAATTGATTTTAACATATTCAATATCTTAAAGAAAAAACTTTATATAAGTTAAATGATAGTGGAAATGAATTGTAATGAAATATGTGTATTAATAATAAGAAAGATTGATACTATATTAAGGCCTGTTTTACAAATGTTAAAAGAATATGTATTTTAATTTATTGCAATATAAATTTAATTAAAATTCAATTATAGAAAGAACTAATACGGGAAGTAGAAATGGGACCCTTTAAGCATACTGTTGATGACGGTTTAGATATTAGAAAAGCTGCATTTGAATGTATGTACACATTACTTGAACAAGGGCTGGAAAGAGTGGATGTGTTTCAGTTTCTGGATCATGTTCAAGGAGGATTGCGAGATCATTATGATATAAAAATGTTAACATATTTAATGACTGCCAGACTGGCGCAGCTATGTCCTAATGCTGTATTACAAAGTAAGTTTAGTAAAAAGATAAGTAAATTTTAAACTTTATTTTGAACAATATTTTTATATACTTGATAGTGTCAATTTTATTTTATTTGTATTATACAATATAGATTATAAAAGAAATGTTTAACAAATGGTATCTGAAGTAATCAATCATAATGCTATCAATTCCTTTAATTTAAATTTGTATATTTTTTTTATTAAATTTAATCATTTGATTATTAACTAATTACTTGATAATTAACAATATGAATAAATGAAGGGTTGGAGCAACTTGTTGAACCATTGAGGGCCACCTGCACACTAAAAGTAAAGGCAAACTCAGTTAAACAAGAATATGAAAAACAAGATGAATTAAAAAGATCTGCCCTTCGAGCTGTTGTTGCTTTATTAGCTATTCCAAAAGCAGGTATGCATGTAATATTCTTGTTTTATTGTTAACTAAAGAAGAGTTTAATCTATTGCAAATAAATATTTTTTTATAAAATAAAAATATAACTTTGCCTATGAAATAGTTTTAAGTTCTAAAAATGTAAAATATCTATACCTATCTTTAAAATAACATTTAGTTCTAGTCAATATTGTTTATAAATGTTTGAAATGATGTTAAAAGTAAGATGTTATATATGTTTACATATTTAATACTAATACTATGCCGAATATAACATTTTTAATACAATGCAATTACCCCAACGTTATACAAAAAAAAATCAAAATGCAATTATTTTTTTAATAATAAGATGATAATTAATATTAAGAAAACAATACTTTTATGCAATATTAAATGATTTTTAAAAATAATTTCATATTTTTGCAGATAAAAATCCTCATCTTAGTGATTTCTTATCCTTGATACGAGCCTCCTCAGATTTACTACCTTTGTATGAGAGTGTACAGAAGGACACCACACTAAATTGTGAGCAGAATAATCAAATGGATCAAAGTTAATAACTTTGCATTCTAAGTTTTAAAAATTCTTTAAGTTATTGCAATTATTGCACTCATTATTGTTAGAAATAAGCTATTAGTATATTTAAGTCATAAGAATTTATTCAGACTGTACATATTGTTTTGAAAGGGAAAAAAAACTGAAAATATTTCATTCTTTATATGCAGTTCTTTATGTCTAAAAACTTTCACATCTACACTTTCTATGTTTTGAACTATTTAAAATATTTCTTATAATTTTGGATATTTTTGTTGTATTGTAGTAGACGATATAGTAGGAATATTAGATATTTATCTGAATCTTTTTTAATTTGTCTTCCTGAATCATTATGTAGGTATGCAATGTGATATGAACTCTAACATTGATTGATTTGATTTATATGAATATTTACTTACTACTATAATTTGCTTTATGAACAAGGGAAGACTTGTATATGCTTGAAATCTGAATTATTCTAAAGTGTTGCATATAATTTTATAACAGAAATGTAAGAATAAATTACCTGAAAATTTTTAATAAGTTTTCTTGAATTTTATTAATGTTCTCAATCCCATTATGATTTCCCTCTCCTTATTATTTACGTATATCTCATTATTATGATGGAATATATGTATGGTCGCATTTGTTGATCCTTTCCTGTCATTTATCCTATCATTTATTCCTTCTCTCTTTACAGTTGGATTGGCTATGTTAAAGCTGAATCTACACAGTGGTGATTGAGATTTAGCGCAAACTCATAATTACTCATGCGTATATCATATAATTATAAACATTTTATTTATCTCCAAATGTAAAATAATTCAATATTTTTAATAAAATTCATTGAACTATAGTATTTTCTGTTTCAATATAAGCGCAAAATATGTAGTGTTTATTTAATTTTCATATAAAAACGATTTTTAAAATAGCCATGTATTCAACAAATTTATTTTATCGCGCCGCTCATTAAAACTGCGCATTCGTTTTATAAGGGTATGCGGAGGTACCGTATACACCACACACGCGTCTTCTAGAATAATACATGAGTAAAATTGCATTCTGCTTAAATCAGCCGGAATGTTCTACCTACGACGCAATATGCATTAATATATTATAATACATAATTTATTATATCTTGTGAATGACAAAAATGTTTGCTATTTGTACTAAATATAAGGGCCAATGCATAATTACTTTTCTACAAAATTAATTCACATGATGCATATTTTATATGCAAGTATAGTAGAATTTCAGATTAGTTGAAATTACATATATAGATTTGGATCGATATTGTATATGAATTGAACTAAATTAGCTCAAATAAGATTTTGAAAGTATAAATAAATTTTGTAAAATATATAAAACACTAGAAGTGCGCATTTACAATTAGGATTTGGATTAACACATCATAAACAATGTAAAGTTAATTAATAAGTTAATTCATACTTCATAAAGTTTACTACAGAATAATAAAATCAATAAACATGCCATGAATGTTTTGAAAAATACTTATTACTTTACAAAAATCAAATGAATAAAAATTAAGAAAATGTAAGCATAAACAATTACTATCCCGTAAAAACATAGTTTTACAGAATTTTATTCATAATAATATCTATTTTAATTAAAAAACATTCACTATTTTGGAATTGTACATATTAGGATTTTTTTTAATAAACATTCTTATTATCAGATGCATAGATTAGTTTCTACAATAAATATTTTCCCTATGATCACAATTGCAAGAGTTAAGAATATTAATTTTAGAGCAAATCTATATATTTAATTTTATTTCCAGTAAATATTTTTTGTTTTATTACTGTTTCTTTCAACTGAAACGTTCTATTATTGTTTTCGTATAGCATTAATTTTTATAATGATATGAGACAAGTATAAGAATGTTAATTAATAGTATGATATTTATTTCATAATTAGTTAACATTATAGAATAATGCTAAACTGTTTAAGAATATAATTTACTAATAGAACTACAGTCAAAATAATCAACTATCATTGAAAGATACATAAAGAGAGATAAATTTTTATATATTGTCCAATGAAGCGATAATTTAATTTGAAAATAATAATTTTGGGTAATACTTAAGTGAAGAAAACTATACCGATCATAATTATATTGTATATTAATAATTATAAAAATTTTTTATATATATGCCTGTATTATTTTATTGTGCGATATAATATTCTTTGAATTGCGCGCCTAACATCCTGCGTGAACGAAGCATTCGAGAAGCTTCTAGAATGTTCTAGAACATTCGAGAAGATTCTAACAGGAAATAGCTTAATTATCAAATTACTAAATTAGGCTTATTTAAAATAATTATTAGGTAAATTATAAATCTTTATAACAATAGAATCTTAATAGTGTTATTTTTTCCATTTACAAATTGTTAAATAATAGAGAAAATCATAATTAAAGTTGACTAGCCGGAAGTTGCTTCTGAGAAAAGTCTAGAAACATCGAGGCGCTTCATCTGTGCATAAAAGCGCATGTACCGGCTTTTCTGCGTCATTCAATCTGGATTTTCGTGATAGAGTGTTCGTCTTTGATTTAGGAAGTTACATATAATTATTCAAGGTATGTTTTAATTTTATTTATCGTTATTACATTTCGTTTATTTGATTTGATTTAATTTAATTAAATTAAATCATTGTTATAATAAAATAATTGTGCAATGAAATTTTGCCTCGTTTTTAAGCGATATTAATTTTGTGCCGCTTGATTTTGCACGAGGTTTCTTAAGTCACTTCAATAATTATATAGTGTTTAATTGAATGTGACTTACAATTCGAATAAAATTTAATTGTGTAAATAATTTTTGTGCAATTTCACATAACCTCTATGTGCATGTTTCTTATTTCTTGTATATTTTTCAGATGCCTGAAGATACACAAAACGCTGGTGATGTCGAGACATTCGCCTTCCAAGCTGAAATTGCTCAGCTTATGTCTTTAATTATTAATACATTCTACTCTAACAAAGAAATCTTCTTGCGAGAATTGATCTCAAATTCATCAGATGTAAGTATTTAGTGAGACCAAGTCACTTGATCTACAATTTTTTTTTTTTTTTTGATATTTTCATTATATATGAAATTATTTTCTAATACTTATTCTTTTTCGTCTAGGCTTTGGATAAAATCCGCTATGAATCCCTTACTGATGCATCTCGCTTGGACAGCGGCAAAGATCTCCACATCAAGATCATTCCTAATAAAAGTGAGGGCACGCTCACCATTATTGACACAGGCATTGGCATGACGAAAGCTGATCTTGTGAACAATTTGGGTACAATTGCGAAGTCTGGAACTAAAGCCTTCATGGAAGCCTTACAAGCTGGAGCCGATATTAGTATGATTGGTCAATTTGGTGTTGGTTTCTACTCGGCCTATCTCGTTGCTGATAAAGTCACGGTCACATCTAAGCACAATGATGATGAACAATACCTTTGGGAATCTTCCGCAGGAGGTTCCTTCACAGTTAAGACTGACAACTCTGAACCCCTCGGCCGTGGTACAAAGATTGTATTACACATCAAAGAGGATCAAACCGAATTCTTAGAAGAAAACAAAATCAAAGAGATCGTCAAGAAACATTCACAATTCATTGGCTATCCAATTAAATTATTGGTAGAGAAGGAACGTGAAAAGGAGCTCAGTGATGATGAAGCTGAAGAAGAAAAGAAAGAAGGCGAGGAGGATGATCAAAAACCAAAAATTGAAGATGTAGGAGAGGATGAAGAAGCCGATAAAGAAAAGAAAGAAAAGAAAAAGAAGACTATTAAGGAAAAATACACTGAAGATGAGGAACTCAACAAAACCAAGCCCATCTGGACCAGAAATGCCGATGATATAAGCCAAGAAGAATACGGTGAATTTTATAAGTCACTTACTAATGACTGGGAAGATCATCTTGCCGTCAAACATTTCTCAGTTGAGGGTCAACTCGAATTCAGAGCTCTTCTCTTCGTTCCAAGACGTATGCCTTTTGATCTCTTTGAAAACAAGAAGCGCAAGAACAATATCAAGTTGTATGTCCGCAGGGTGTTCATTATGGATAACTGTGAAGATCTCATTCCAGAATACCTCAACTTCATGAAGGGTGTTGTTGACAGCGAAGATTTGCCATTGAACATTTCTCGTGAGATGCTACAACAAAATAAAATCTTGAAAGTTATCCGCAAGAATCTAGTCAAGAAATGCTTAGATCTGTTTGATGAATTGTCTGAAGATAAAGATGGCTACAAGAAATTCTATGAACAATTCAGCAAGAACTTGAAACTTGGTATTCATGAAGACAGTCAAAATCGTGGTCGTTTATCCGAACTTCTCCGCTACCACACTTCATCTTCAGGAGACGAAGCTTGCTCTCTCAAGGATTATGTTGGTCGTATGAAAGAAAACCAGAAGCACATCTACTTCATCACTGGTGAGAACAAAGAGCAAGTTTCAAACTCATCCTTTGTAGAACGTGTCAAGAAGCGTGGATTCGAAGTAATCTACATGACAGAACCAATTGATGAGTATGTTATGCAGCAAATGAAGGATTACATGGGCAAAACTTTAGTTTCTGTCACAAAGGAAGGTTTGGAGTTGCCTGAAGATGAAGATGAAAAGAAGAAGCGTGAAGAGGATAAGACTAAATTCGAAAGCCTTTGCAAGGTTATGAAGAATATCTTGGATAACAAAGTAGAGAAAGTAGTTGTGAGCAACCGATTGGTAGATTCACCCTGTTGTATTGTAACATCACAATATGGCTGGACAGCCAACATGGAAAGAATCATGAAGGCCCAAGCTCTTCGCGATTCCTCAACCATGGGTTACATGGCTGCCAAGAAACACTTAGAAATTAACCCCGATCATTCTGTGATTGATACTTTAAGACAAAAGGCCGATGCTGATCCAAAGGATAAGGCCGTTAAAGATTTAGTTATCTTACTTTTCGAGACAGCTTTGCTGTCATCTGGTTTTACTTTAGATGAACCCCAAGTTCACGCTTCAAGAATTTACCGCATGATCAAACTTGGTTTAGGTATTGATGAAGAAGAGCCAATGCTCGCTGAAGATGAACCTGCCAGCGGTGACTTGCCTCCACTTGTTGGTGATGCAGAAGATGCGTCAAGGATGGAAGAAGTTGATTAGGCTGTTTTCCAAAAATTAGGTTATCAAATTATAGATTTTAATGTCATTAATTTGTCATTTCATTTGTTTATCATTCCTCTTCACTTTATATTATGTTATTGTATGAGTATTAAATTGACTGAATACAAATTACTCTATAATTGAAATATTTTCTTTAATTTACTTAAGTCATTTGCAATACTTTTATTTCAGGACTTCAATAGTAAAGTGATTATTAAATTATTAATTCAATATTAAATTAAATAATCTAAATCTATAATTAAATTCATTGAAATTTTTCAACATAAAAAGTGCAGCTGCTGCTAATATATAATAATTTCCCATTAAATTTGCTGTCGATACTAAATTTAAATAAACACAAATTTAATTTTCATACTAAATTAAATACTTCTGTGCTAGTGTTCGATATTGCATTGTTAAACAAAAAATATTACATAAACTAAATTCAAATAATTCATAAAATATGAATTTTTAAATAAAATGTGAATTTTATATTTGGTACTTGGTTTAAAGTTACTTTACCTAAACAGCATTATAAATAAGTGTGAATATTCTAAATTGTGCAAAAGCTGTGAGTGTAGTGTTCGTTCATATTTACATCTTCAATATGTTTTGTGTGTGCATAGACTTTGTAAATATTATTTATTGTATAATAATGCAATTGTTATTCACATAACAGAATTCAGTTAATATAACTTGATAAGTGTGTGAATATAATAGTTGAATTTTACTCGTGAAAGTGCTTATTATTATTAACACAAGTGTGGTTTCTCGAACAAACTGAATATGGTATGTATATATAAATTGAAATAATTCAAGATTAAAAAATACAATTTAGTTAAAATGTGTAAGATTATAACGTTGTACAAAAAGTTATTAACTTTTTAAAAGAAGTTTCGCCAGAAAATTCGATTTCTAATTTTGCTCTTTCGACGTTTCAAGTCATTCTGAATCATTTGACCTTACAATTGGAAAAACTGTGTGCGTGTGTACGAGAGCAAATGTGCATGTGAGTCAAAATAAGATCTTTCGTAGAAATTTTCTCAGGGCCGCCTGAACCGATTTCAAAATTTTAAAGACCTTTGATGAAACTCGTTAAGGACTCGCTTTGATTAATTTTGCGAGATGATCGGCCGAACTGTTTTCTTATAATTAGCAAAAAAGTGCAAGGCTTTTCATTGTGCATTGTGCATTTGGTTGTGTTTCATACTGATTACTGTGTTGATGCCTACACTTAATTGAAAACACAAAGTATAGAACGAAATGTGTTAATTAAATTCAATTTTAAATATAATTTAAGATACAGGTAACCCCGCATAACACGGTACTTCTATAACACGGATTCGCTTCAACGCGATTTAAGAATTGAGACCATCCCCCTCATAACACGGTACTTCTGGGTTCGCATAACACGGTTTAAGAATTGAGGAAAGTTTTAGTAAAATAAGAAATATAGTAAAACCTATAAAAAGCAGACTTTATTTAATTAATTTACTAAAATAAGTAAAATCGCCGTGCTATAGGTCCATAAATGTGATGAAATAGTGCAAAAGATAACTAATTTGATATAAATTATTAGAGCGCGTACGTTTTATCGAAAAAAAATCTAGGATTATCCGAACAATATATTAAATAATTATTAAGCAATTCTTTAAATAAAATGAGCATAAAAGTTTTTTTTAAAAGCATGTAATCGCAAATATAATTTTTTTGGAAAAAATAATATACGGATCTGAAGGTAGTATAGAAAACTGCTCAGAGGATGAGGATATCTTGCAAAAAAAAGAACATGCTGGATAGGACTTACTGTTAATTATGACGAAAAAATCATATAATTCAAGTAATGTATATTACTTCTTAAAAGAATTAATAAGTGTAACAATATTTATTATAACATCATGATATGTAGCATGTATTTTTGAATTCTTGGAACGTAACTCCTCTTTTGGTACTAGTTCTTTGTCCCTTATAACACGGATTATCATATCACGCTAGTTTTCTGGAACGTAACTACTGTGTTGTACAGGGGTTACCTGTATTCCAAATATTTTTGAAAAATATCAATTGGAAATTGAATTTATTAGTTTTTGTGAAAGCAAAACCTTTATTTTCGAAATAAACATACTCTATGTAAATAGCTAAATCTCAATTTTTATATTGTTTAATTTGATTATTTGCAAGTATCGGGAAGTTTATTCAACTTGCCACCTACAACTTTGCATTTTGTAACTGAAAATATGATAATTTTATAATATAATAAATAATAATAATAATAAATAGAGTAAACATAAATAATTATTGCAATTTATTACCAAAATTACAATTATAAAATTAATTTAAACATGTTAAGTAATACTTATATATTAATATTAACAACTATTCAGTAATTTCACCAAGTTCTTCCTCATCACCTCCGATAGCTCTCCAAAATGCTGCAACAACTTGTTCTGCATGTGCTTTTCTTTCATTAAGTGGTAGAGATCTTACACTCTCTTTCATAGACAATAATTGTGAAAATAATTCTGAGAAATCATCTGATGTGTCTTCAGTATTGGGATCACCTGAAAATTGCAAGATTTACATAAACTTGTCAAAAATATTTCAAGCACTTATTCTAACAACAAAAACGATAGGCCAATATCTCACCTAAGAACTAATGAATAGAAATAAAAAGTATAATCCTTTCTAATGTACTACTTGAAGACTTTGATTTTATCATAAACTGTTTAATCATTCAATTAATGCTGAATGAACTTATGCCAAGAGATTATGTGGGTCTGAAAAAACTTCAGTTGTTACACATTCAATAAGACACCTTTTAGGCATAAAAATATTGATAGCTCACTAGAAGAAACTTTTTATTTCATTATAGATTTGATGTGTCCAAAGGAAATTTATAAATGCAATATTTTCTTCTAGATCACCGATCATTTAAAATTGAAAGCCATTGTGGGTAAAGTCAAATTATATATCTGAATGTAATTCAAAATAAGATAAGTAATAAGAAATCTTAATATTATTTTTAGACATTCACAATGACATTCACAATTGATTATGACTTTTGTCATATCATATTAAAAATTTCACCTTTCATAGTAGCATTAACCCAATGATGTGTATGCAATGCTTCAATGACCCTATCAATTCCAATTTTTTCTGGAATGATTTCATCATCTTCTAAATCTTCTTCATGAGTCGGCTTACTCGTTTCTATGGGATTTAATTCAATGAGCTCGAAATGATGCTTAAGACACCAATTTAGTGCTGACTCTCTTGTTTTACTTGACACATTCGAACTGCATGAGTTGCATACTAAGAGCAAAATTTCAGCTTGGTACTGCTTAATCTTTTCTTCAATTGATTGAAGGCAGGATATTGCGTCTTCCTTAGAGAAAATATAATTTTTATAATCAACTATGATATAGAAGTTTTTAATATATTTTTGTGGAAATGCGAATAACTTTGATATTTATTTATATTATTCAAATTATGCATATTGCTGGAAAAATAAAGTCGAACCATTATTAGTACAATTAAAAGATATATGTTCAAACTTAGAAATATATAAATTGAAAATTTTCTTGAGGCAAGCAGCGTTATAAGATTTTCAAGCGTTTTACTGAGGTATCTAATTATGAATAATTAATCTTCGAATGTATAAAGCCCAAGATTTGTGGATTAATATTATACAGTACAACAGTTCTGAATATATTTGTCATAACTAGTAAAAAGTGCTTTTAAGTTTTACAGCATATTAGGATCTGAATAACACATTAGTTTTTACAAACAAAAATTGAAAGACACTATGTGCAAAATATGCAGAACATGTTCTTTCAGATAATTGGATATAAAATAAAATACAAATGATATTTACTTGTTCTGCATCGAAATATATTACAAGAGCTTCAACCATTTGCAGTATATCATTGGGCATATTATCATTAACATCGACAGGACATATATAAGCTTCAGCATTGTAATATTTGGTGTCAATTTTCCATTTATACCCTGTGATATTATTTCCTAAAGTAGTCCCCAGTGGTAATTGATCACATCGCAAAATTCCTGAAACAATACATTTTAAAATTTACGATGTAATTAACTAAATATTCGTCGATTTAAAGTGAAAGAACCTTTAACAAGATTTTCAGCAGATAAATCAGTGATTCCTATGACAGAAACTATTGGCATCATTTTATGAGGAGAATTTAATTAATATTGTTCGACGTCTATTGTTTATTCTAATTGTACATATCTATCATAAATCGAAAGAACTGAGGTGATATTTAACGAACGAGTTGTCAAATCTGGCTAAATAATAAATTTCGGTTTTCGAGGCTTAATACCCGTAGTCATACTCTGATGTGTATAAGCCTCCATAGCTCAGGGGTTAGAGCACTGGTCTTGTAAACCAGGGGTCGTGAGTTCAATTCTCACTGGGGGCATTTTTTGTTTTTTTATTTTACTAACTATTTTTTATATTTTATTATTAAATTTAATATAGATTTTATTTTAAAATATCTGTTAATAATCATTAATAATCATTAAAAACACTTTTTTTGCGTTTACAAAACTTCTTGTTAGTGCATAGAACTACACTGTTGTCACTTGTCAGGCGGTTCGTGCCTTAACTGTAACTAATTAACATACATTCTTTATTTAGAAATATCATTCTCAGCTGTGTTTTTAATAATAATTTGCAAAATTATTTTATTTAGTTTCCCCTCATGATTTTTTACTTTTTTCCAGATGATAGTTACTTCGTTTAGATATGAGGTGATGTAAGGTGATTTTATAGGATGCAATTATTTTTTTCGTATCGTTTATTTATTCTGTAATTTATGAGTAAAAATAAAATTATAATTTAATATAGATATATAGTTCATATAAGTTAATAATATTAATAAAATAAAAATATATTTTTATGTTGCAATGGAATAATCTATACTAGATTGTGCAGTGGTTTGTGTATTAACTGCATGTATATTATTATTTGTTCC